CTCTCATAAGACTTTAGTGAAGCCTATGTTAATCTATACTATCTGACTTTCAATTGCTCACTCCATTCCATCTCTATTGTCTTGATGGGTAAATTAAACATTAACTTTGATAGCTCTGGTACCATTGTTGCCTCTCATTTCTTCCACCTCTTAATAATAATGACTTCTTTCCCCATTTCATCTAAGCAACTTGCATGGTTCCATTTCACATTTGAAAATATTCCTTGAAATGTTTTCCTCTGAAAGTACAAACCCTAAAATTTTATCTGATCACTATTTCTCATAAAGAGAAAGTACAGTGTATATAATATTATGCCATATTTAAATACATGAACAATAAATACATATATAATTGTATATGCAAACAAAAATTCTTGATGGACACACAAGAAATGGTTGACAGCAGTTGGCTCTGGGAAACATAGCTGGGGATCACTGAATAATGTTTAAAGTATTTACAATAAATATATATTGCAGTTTCCATTTTTTTAAGTAAACAAAAAACTTTTTTCAAAACAGATTTGTGGAGATTGAGTAAATCAAGGGATATAGGAAACTTCTGCAACAGAAGAGAACATGGGACATAAAGAAGAATGAATTTAGTCTATAATATTCAGTGATTTATCACAGAAACAAAGAACTGAGTACCACATATTTTCACTCATAAGCGGACCCTGAATATTTACCATAATACTATAAGAAAGGAATTAGCAGTAGCCAGAAACTGCTGGCGGAGCGGGGGGGCGAGGAGGGAAGCATTCAATAAGGGTGCCTGATCTCAAACCAGGCAAAGTGGGGACCAAAGGGAGGTCCAAACTTTACTCATATGATGACCACTTATATACCTAATCCTGAATTGTACCCCATATCTTTAAAATAAAATAATTTTTAAAAAAGATTGAAAGCTCAGTATTTCTGGTGCAAAATTTTTTATGAACTACGGCAAAGATTAGCTAGAGAAATAAGCTTGGAGAAGATCCTAAAAATCAGTGTCTTGCAATAAGAAATTAAAATTTATCCTGGAGGTGAGAAAAAACCCCTGAAAACTTGTTGGTTGAATAATAGCATGATTGAATCTCTTTAGTGTTAGTGTGGTAAAATGCACCGAGCAGGAGTAAGCCTGGGTAGAACAGATAGAAGGCATTTTATGGCAATTACAGTTAAGAAGTTAGAAGTGCCTAAATTAAGACAGTAGTAGTAGAAAGGAGAAAAGAGACTAAAGTTGAGAGATATTTAAAAGTAGAATAAACAGGACTTGAGGACTGATAGGCTATGGATAATGCTGGAGAAGAGGGTAACTCACACATCCCTAGTTTGGGCAGATTAGTTGGTGCTGCAATTCACAATCAAGTCAAGAAGCAGGCAATGTGTTATATACTGAGTTTAGGATATCTATTTGAGATGCAAACAAAGATGGAAGTTGAAAATGTAAATCTGAAATGTAGAAACAAGATCTTAAAGATTTAGAATGGAAATCATTGGCATGGAGGTGGTAGCTGAAGTTTCTCAATAGAAGCAATCACAAAGATTGTATATAGAAAGAAGAAAGTAGGCTGGGCTCGGTGGCTCAGTCTGTAATCCCAGCACTTTGGGAGGCTGAGGTGAGTGGATTGCCTGAGCCCGCAGGTTCGAGACCTGCCTGGCCAACTTGGCGAGACCTCATCTCTACAAGAAATCAAAAAATTAGCCGGGTGTGGTAGCGCACGCCTGTAGTTCCAGCTACTTGGAAGGCTGAGGCGGAAGGATCGCAGGAGCCCAGCAGGTTGAGGGTGTGGTAGCCGGGAGTGGCCACTGCACTCCAGTCTGGGCGACAGAGTGAGACTCCAACTCAAAAAAAAAAAAAAAAAGAAGAAGAAGAAAGTAAAGAAAAAGAATATTGAAATCCTTTCATCATCCTAGTTCTGATCCACCATCTCTCATCAAAAGTATTGTAACATTTTCCTAACGGGTTTCACTACATTCAGCACATTTCTTCTCAAATACATTTGTTCCACAATTAACAAAGTCATATTCTTTGTTTCATCCACTTTCTCAGAAACCATAAATAATTTTCCATTATCTACAGGATAAATCCCTTAATCTTTCATCTTGAAATTTTTCACAATTTTTCTTTCTACTACCCTCTAAACATAAAGATTAGTCCTTGTCAATTTTGTCTTGCCATTGTTATTTCAACTTTTCCTACCACCTTTTTTGTTTTTTCATACCACCAACCTACTTTTATGTACTTTCTCTTCTTTTCACTATAAAAATCTTAACCATCTTTCATAAGATCCAACTCATTCCCTTCTCTGTCAAGAATGCTCTTCTAGATAATCAGAAATCAGAATCAATTCTACATTAAAATGTATTGTCTCATAAATGACAAAAAAGTGATGTCATCTATGCTTGACATTTATCAAGTAATTAGTAGTTTTTACACAAAATTTCATTAGGTTATCTGTTTTAGTTTCAAACAGAAGATTCGGATAGCAAGAAACAGAGTTTGTCTATTTTATTCATTGCTCTATCTCTAGAGCCTAGATTTATTCCTGACATGCAAATATTTGTTGAATCAATAAATACTCCTATTTCTCACAATATTTAGGTGAGGGTTTCCTACCTAAAGGGTTCTTGGAAATTATTTATTAATTTCTTATTTAATTGTCTGGCTTCATAAAAATAGATATATGAATAAGAAAAATAATTTTCTTTAAGATGTCATGAGAAAATAAAATGAATTTCTTCAAAAAGAATAATTAAAATGTTAAAGTAACTTCCAAAAAAACCTCCTGTAATCCATCTTTTTGGGTAAATTACTATTGTCTTATTTCCTACATTTAATTTAAAGAACGTATGTAAGTAACAGCTATCACATGTCAGCCTGTGAATATTAAGAAGTATTTTTATCATCCCTAGTAGTTATTTAGGAATGTACTTTGTGTTAGGAGTTGAATTTTGTTCTCCTAAAATTTTGAAGTCCTGACTCCAAGTACTTCCACATGTGACCGTATTTGAATTTAAGGTCATTGCAGACATAACCAATTCAGTTGAGGTTATACTGGAGTAGGGTTGGCCTCTACTCCAATATGACTAGCATCTTTATAAAAAAGGAAATTTGTACACAGACATACATACAGGAAGAATGCCATGTGAAGATAAAGGTGAAGATTATAGGAATGCTTTACAAGCCAAAGAATACCAAAGATTGATAACAAACCACCAGAAGTTAGGGCAGGCATAAATAGAGTATTTCTCGCAGACCTCAGAATGAACAAACCGGGCCGAAACCTTTATCTTGGACTTCCAGCCTCCAGATCTGTGAGGCAATACATTTTTGTTAAGCCACCCAATTTGTGGTAATTGGTTATGACAGCCCTAGTACACTAATAAAATCTGTCAGGAAATCTGTCTTTTAGAAGCTTAACAAGAAGCATTTTATAAGGTTAGGACACTGTGGCCTGGGAAGAGCTGTGCTCATGGTCCTCCTTAACTTCTGGTACTCTAGATTAAGATGAAATCCAGCCCATCTTTGGCATTTGATTTCCTCCTCTTCTATGATGTCTTACATGCAGAATTATGATGTTTGTGACAAATACAAAGCATGATAATAATTATGTTTTATTAAGAGCCTACTATTTTGCTGGTACTTTATACTCATTTTCCCATCCAATCTTCACTACAATCTTGTAAGGTAACATTTCTGTCTTCAATTTACAGAAAGAGAAAGAGATGCTCAGGGAGGCTAAATTACTTACCTAAGATTATACTGCTGTTGTGTCACACAGCCAAGATTTGAGTTCACACAGATCTAGTTCCAAAGCCCATACTCCTTCTGCTATTACACACTGTAGTTTGCACAATGTTATAAAAACAAAATTGCTAAATGTATCAAACCTTCAGATATAATGCTACAGTTTGAGCCCTTAAAATTAGAGGTAAAACTCTACCCTCCCAGGTCTAGATAATAGGTTCTTGATATACTGTATAGGGTCTAGGGTAAAAGCTATGGTGAAGGCCTAAATCCTGCAAAGCAGCAGGTATAATTAAAAGTTAATAAATTTATTGTTTCTAACCTCCTATAATTGCTTGTTGCTCAGAAGTCATGAAATTGGTGGTCACAAGGGTTTTAACTTTCCCTAATTGCTCCTATAGATAACATCACTATTGTGTAACCTAAGACTGGTCTTTGAGATATTTTCCAGGCTTTACAATCTGGTAGACCAATCTTACCAGGGACCCATACCAAGAAACTGACTCAACAAGTCCTGTGAGACAGGTCAATAGCAAAAACATGGAATCAAACTAGGTGCTGATCAACAGTGGATTGGATAAAGAAAAAGTGGTACATGTAGACCATGAAATACTACACAGCCATAAAAAAGAATGAAATCGTGTCCTTTGCAGCAACATGGATGTAGATGGAGATTATCATTCTAAGTGTTTTGTCTCAGAAACAGAAAATTGAATATTGTGTGTTTTCACATATAAGTGGGGGCTAAACATGGGCATAAGGATGGCAACAGACACTGAGGACTCCTAAAGGAGGCAGGGAGGGAGGGGAAAAGGATCAAAAACCAGCTGCTGGGTACCAGGCTCACTACCTGTGTGACAGACACAACAGAAGCCCAAACCTCACCAACATGCAATATTCCAGTGTAACAAACCTGCACAGGTACCCTTTGAATCTAAATTTTTTAAAGTAAAAAATCATTAGTTTTTGTTTTCTTGGATCTTATTTTAGGAGCATCATAAATACATATGCTTGTGCTAGATAATTAAGGAAATTATCTTCACAAATACATAGATAGTGGTCATTTATCCTCCTTTAATGTCACTCATTATATTTTCTTTTGAGTTACATATATGTGTGTGTGTGTATGTATATATATAAAACATCAATACTGCCATCAATATTGATTTCATTTAAATCAATTCTCTACAAAATTAGAAAACAGAAGATGTTAGAAAATGTAAGGCATTAAACATGGTATAGCTATTTTTAAAAACGAGGAACTCACATATTTTCATGTATGTTTCGCACCCGTTCTTCTCTTCTGAGCACCTCTCTGGCCAATTTTAACTCATTGATTGGTTCTGCCACCCACAATGTTGGTTCCAAAGGTTTGTAGCGTTGTTCTAATACTTCGGTGATATCTCGGAAGGGCCCCTGACAAGAGAAGATAAGGTACATATTTTATTATGGAGGAATTTTTTGGACATATTATTGATGACCAAGGCTACTGACCATCTACAAAGTTTAGCAAGTTTACTAAATTATTTTTAAACAAAATTTATTCTTCTCTGAGAAAATATGTGACAAGAATATCACATATCTTTAAGAAATGTTCTCTCAAGTAAAATGGATTCATTGTAAAAAGTTGTAAATTAAACAGAATTTTACTCACATCAAAAGATCTTCACACTGGTAAACTTGAAGTTACAGGTTGTTTTGTTTTCTAATTTTAAAAAGCACATGTCTTCTAATATAATTCAGAAAGTATTTTTCCCTTTTTAAATAAAAATATTAGGAAAAGATTCTGAACACAGCTTTCCAAGAGCTCTTCTATATATAGAACTAAGAGAGTTTATGTTTTTTCATTAAATTAAAATTTTATTTGAATACCAAATCTTTTATTTGATAGGTGGCCCTCTAAACATAAAAGAGCCATATTTTTATTTGCGTTCTTTATTTAAAATTCAAAACTTTATTTTTTATAGCAAACTTTTAATGGCACAAACACTTAGCAGAGGCAAGTCCATAGCTGCACTGTCAAAAGTAGCTTACAAGATGTCCTACTTTTAAAGTAGTTGTTATTTACAGTAGTTACTAAAATCCACTGGCTGTCTAATTAGTATAATATTAAGCACAATAAAAATCAGAGGCCGCTCAAAATTTTGCTGTGCCATTAATTATATATTGTGAGTTTTTTTCCATCTCTATAGTACAGGACAGAAGTAATATAAAATGGACAACAATTTTTAATCATATTTCTTATTCTTAAAAATCTCTTGTTTAAATAGGTTATCACTAACAAGACACAGCTGGAGTCACTGCAAGCTCTGAGTGAAGACTGTGGGGCTAATAAAAAGAAATGATTCACGCCTCATTTATGTTCACTTATGTTTTACATTAATAGAAACCAATAATAGGAACCAGTTACCATAAAAGTCATGGACCGTAAATAACACAAATGGCAAATAAGTATCATCTAGTACTTTTCACAGCTGGACAGGAGGATTGCTATATTTGAAAGTAGTTAATGGATTTTTACCGGAACTTTACTTTTTAAAGATACAGTAACATGATTCCAAGTCTACTATTAAGAAATCTAATGGGGCTATTTTTTTTTTTCTCACAGATTCTTATTCTTTTACTTTGCCAAATTCTATGGTTTAAAAAAATTAATGTTTGATTATATAACTGGAGGCAAGTTATTTCTCTAAGCCTGTTTTTATTATATGTAAAATAGAATAACTATATCACAGATTTGCTTTTGAGATGTATAAGATAATGTAACGTTCGTAGCATTGTTCTTAGACCATAACAAACACTAAAAAAAGGTATCCATTGTGTTGTTATTATTACTATTATAATTAGTTTCTAGAAGAGTTTTTAAAAGGTTTTGAATAATAATAACATCAAAGAAATAAGGAAGTGGCCCAAGACCATGCTTTTGAGTAATGGTCTCAGTGACCAAGGTCTGCCTTCTAAATTTTGTTAGTACACCAACATAACATGTATCTACTTGTAGACATACGCCATTACTTTCTGGAACTTACTAGTTTTAATGAGACTAGAAAGTGAAAGACAAGGAGTCTTGCTTAAGCTCAGAACAAAAATAAACTCAGATTTGGGGTTCACTATTACCTTCATGATCCCCAGTTCTCCTGTAATCATGTCCATCTGACTATGTCTTTCAGGTCCATACATTTATATTTTAGGCAATTAGTATCTTACCTTTGAGCTCAATAGTTCTGCTCCTTTTTTAGTGAACCTGACACTGTCAGGCTTCTCTTATGCCAAAGCTTTTGTGTATTTGTATTTCTATTGATAGACTTTTTAGATATTAGGTGATCATTTATCCTAATCATACCTATAGTGACATGGGACCCCAGATTTTGGAAATAGCTTCAACTTTAAAACTGCCCATTGTTACATATTTTCAAATATTAATTTTTAGAATGTCTAGACCATCCAGGACTCAACCTTACTCTAGGGGTCTTCTTGGACTCTGAGCTATGGTTTTCCAATGTTTGGCTTACTTTCCCCCCAAATCCTGGTTATGAGAGTCAAACACACATGTTTTGCTATATTTTAAATAACTGTATTATTTATAGTCATCTTGTATTTTTTAAGCTTTTATCGAAGCTTAAATAACAATAAAGTTGTTTTTCACAACCATAACATTGTCTCGTACATTTAAAAGTTCACCTGGAAAGGATAGGTTCTCTAATTAGGGTATAAATAATATTATTTATTCATACTCTTCAATGTCATCAATTATGTATAAATATTTTTATTATGGGGTTTTTATTAAACTTTCTTATTACAGGAAATGCTCAGTAAAAATTTTTTAAAACTCCCATTTTGTAAAAAAGAAGAGGAAGGGAGAAAAAGAAAGAAGGGATAGCGGAAAGAAGAAAGAAGAAGAAAGAAGCAAGGAAAAAAGAAGGGAGAAAAAAAAGAAACTCAAGAAGGCAAAAGAAAAGATGGGAGAAAGAAGAACAAAAAGATAAGAGAAAGAAGGACAGGATGGAGGGGAGGACATGATCAGGGAGGAGGAGGCACATAAGTGGGAAGGAAGGAGATAGGCAAAGAAAAAAAGAAAAAAAACAATAAGAGGAAAATAAATAAAAGGAGAGAAAAGAATAAAAAAAGAAAGAAGAGAGAAGAAAATGAAAAGAAAATGTATTCGCAGGGATCATTATTTTGTGGTATACTAAATAAATGTATTCAGGAGTATATATATGTGTGTGTATATATAAAGTATATGTATATAATGTATAAGACATTTTTACATTTCTCCATATATTTATCTATTCCTTATATAAACATATGTATTTCTTTCTCCATACACACACACAAATATTTTCCAACACGTGTATATATTTTCTATATGTTTTCATGTATATATCATATATGCATATGTATCTTCCAAAACGATACATATACCATATATATATATTTTTCAGATACATATCCATCATCCATATATATTTTTATATATCTGTACATATCTTCTACCTATGCACCTATATACTAAATACACTTACATATATATGTATATGTGTATACAGAATGGTATAGAGGAAAGCTATGTAAGGAATAAAAATGGATGTACGGAAGTTGTATTGAGAAATAAAGATAAAGAGTGACTACAAACAAGTAGGGAAGAAGCTACATCACAAAAGTATAATAATAGCAAAGTAGAAAGGCCAATGCGAAAATGTTATAAAACACCTATAAAAAAACCTTAAATTGTCTAGTGATTAATATGAATATTGTACAATGTGGCAGTTTGGTTCAGATGACCTCCAGGGTGTTTTCAGCTCAGAAATATTTCCATACCCTTATTCTACTCATAACATGTAATTTTCACATTTCCTAAAAAATCACATGCAAAATTATTCTATGAATTCCATGTAGTACCAATGGTTATACAAATGAATATAGTCTGCAATGTGAATTTTTTGCAAAGTCAATATGCAATTATATCTGATATCTTTACGTTATTGAGTACTTAATACATTTAAAACATGGAATGAATAATGTGCATGTATTGGAAATGCTAGGGCTACTATTTTCCTTATAGAATAACTAATAAATTTAATTGCCTGTTATTACAATGTTATGTGATGATGCTATATAAAACCATCACTTGCACTAATAGAAAAATAGTAATGTACATAATACAAAATAGTAAAAATTCAGTTATTCATAATATAAATTAATTTTATATTTGTATTTAAAACGATGTTACTGCTTTTACTAGAATATTGATATAACTCTTATCTAAAAAGGAATAATAAAACCATACTCTGAAGATATGTCCCTAAAACAACTGAAAAACTCCCCACTATCTCTCTTTTGTCCCCTTGCTCATCTGTACCCTGCTTGTTACTACATTTCATAAAAAGAAAGTATTGTCAGCTTCTAGGTCTTATTTGGATAAACAGATTAGTTTAAATGTGATTAAGAGTACTGATATAAACAGAATTTCATGAGAAGCAAATCACAGATGCAGAAAAAAAGAAAGTAGTCCAGGGAAGATACTGATTGTATAGATTTTCAAGTGTATTTTACAGCTTCTTCTCTAATATAGTATAAACCATCAGTTAATAGTATTAGCAGTTAGTGGTTTTGAAAGAGCAAAGAAAAATACAAATAAAGGGAATTAAGGATGTAATTATAGAGAATGGAAACATAACATATCACAATTAATTACAGTAAAGTGGGAAATTTTTTAATGGTGTAGAAAGCAGAATTATCTTATTGCATGGTTGATTCAATAGTTGAGGGTGTGAAAGGCAGTTTTTAAGATGGCCCCCAAGGACCTCTGCCTCTTGGTATTTATGCCCTTGTGTAATCATTTGTTCCTGAGTGTAAATTGGGCTTACTCATTTCTAACAAATAGAACATGGCAGAAATAATGGGATGTAGTTTCCAGCATTAAGTTACAAAAAGTTGTGACTTCTGTTTTCAGGTCCCTCTCTCCCTCTCAGAACAGAAAATAACAAGAGATGATGATGATGTAGAGAAATTGGAAGCCCTATGCATTGTTGGTGGGAATAGAAAATGGTACAGCTGCTATGGGGAACAATATGGCAGTTCCTCAATATTTAAAAATAGAATCACCATATGATCTGGCAATTTCACTTCTGAGTATATTCTTAAAATAGGTGAAAGCATAGTCTCAAAGAGACCTTGTACGCCCATGTCTGTTGCAGTATTATTCGCAATAGCTAAGATGAGGAAGCAACTAATTGATGGATAAATGGATAAACAAAATGTAGTATCACATACAATGGAATATTATTCAGTCCCCAAAAGGAAGGAAATTCTGACATATTCTAAAGCATGGATGAGCTGTAACAACATTATTTTAAGTGAAATAAGTCATATTAGGGGATGAGATAAGGAGAAATAAAGAGGTGCTTAATTGATATACAGTTTTAGTTTTGCAAGATGAGGAGAGTTCTGAAGATGAATGGTGGTGGTGATTGCACAAAAAAATGAATGTACCTAATACCACTAAACTGCATATTTAAACAAGTTAAATAATAAATTTTATGTTATATGCATTTTATCATAATGTAAAAACTGGATTAATATCAAGAATAAAATTAATGACAGAAATCTTACAAAGCTAATTAGTACCTGACATTGCTTCCTATCAATAGGTGGCAGAATTTCAGACTGAGGAAAAGAACGGGCACTCGTACAAGCTAGCCAATCAGTAAGGCTGATGGAGTACTTCTTATTAGCTTTAGGTCTTTGGTGTAGTAAAGGCTTTGCCTTCTGTAAACGTAACTCCCATGGATCAGGCTCTTTTCTGAATGGTGAGTTGTATATACCTGGAATCTAGAGAAGACGAAAGCAATTTTGACTCTTATCTTTAATTTTCATATGCATTAAAAGAAGATAAAGTTGTACTGTATTTTTCATATGTTTAAATAATATTTTAAACTGAAACTGTGGTTCTTTACCAGAGGTGGACTTCAAATTTATCTAAAGAAGTTTTACAATCACTCATACTTTGTCTCCACTCTAGATCAGGCATTTACATATCTTTCATGATTGCACACTAAACATTTTTTTCTTAAAACATCAAACCTGGATGAACACAAAACATTTAAAAAACCTACAGATAGTTTCTATCTGCTATACATGACATTTTTATATCATTATATTTAAGAGAAAAAAAAAACCAGAAGAGCCTTAAGCCATTTGTTTTATATTCTAACTGTATGCCACACATATTTAATCATATCTACAAGTCATACATTCACTCACAGAAGTCAAATATACAAAGCTTGAGTCAGTTTTTGATACAAAGTATATAATCAATAAATATTTGATTATTTAAATGATTATATATTACATAGAAGTTATTTTAAGTTTTGTACTTTAAAATCAAAGTGGCATTATGTGTACATGCTATTATATGTTGATCAAAATAACACCTGTATTTAATAAGTTGTATTCATGTGGTTAGGTGCTATGTTTTGGTAGTGTCACATTACACTTGCTGTTTTATTAGTGACTGTTATACAGTGACTCAAAATAGTCAAGCCAGCACCTGTACACAATAGAGGTCCAATAAATGTGTAACAAATGTTAAATTAAAGTTTTATAGATGTCCATTTTCTGAAAATATAATATTGAGTATACAAAACTGCATAGAATCAAATGTTGATAGGACCATACTTTATTTGATACCAATCTTTGATATATGAATCCATAGAGCTCTATACAAAAATATATATACATATATAAACATATGTATAAAGGCAAATATCATACACACATGCATATTCATAAGGAAAAGTTACATTTAAAGGACAGTATGACTTGTTTGGTTGCTCTGTAGACACCCTGAACTATATAAATAATATATTCATTCAATCTATCAGTTCTGCCTAAAAATATGCTTTTCTCTTATGCTACCAACATATCCATAAACATCCCTGTTTACTGTATTTACCTCATGGGATAAGTCGTTCCAAAACAACTAGAACAGTTGTGTTTGAAAAACTATCCATGAAAGTTTTTATTTCCACCCTAACTTATTAATTAAGTATTAACCTCTATCAAATACCTACCCAAGCTTCAATGTCCTATCCCAAATGCTTCCTTAATAATCTGGGAACATCCACCACAGCATCTATCACATTGTTTCTTAATTATCTTTGTATGCATCAGTCTCCCACGAGCCAGAAGTTGGAGCACAAAGACCATTTCAGATATTTTTGCAAACTCTGGGCCTAGCAGAATACTTGGCATATAGTAGACAATAAATGAATGTTAAGTGCTCATCTAGAGTAACAATGCACAGTTTAGAAAACCCATGAAAACCTCTATTTTAACTCTTGCTTTCCAAAGCCCCATATATCTCAGTAAAAAGTTTGAGACTGAATTCTTATAGATACTTATCCTTTCTTTCTTAACACATCAGTTTTAATTTGCTTTTAAACACATTGTGACCTAAAACTAAATAATCACAGACCCACTGAAGCCACCTCCAACTCAACTTTTCTGATTTTAGAATTGGAGACTAAATTTTATTTGATATGAAAAGTTAATGTAAATGCACTGACATATTTTAATAATATTTTTGAACAGTCCCTTCTTTGACCTAAAATTCTCTTTTATAATTAATACAAGAAAAACACTGTGCTGAAAAACATTAAAGGCAGTTATGTAAACCTTTTTAAATATCATGTTAATATTGTCTCACTATAACAGTAAATACAGACAAGGTAAATACATAGACAATTGCTTTCAGTGGGCACTAATTTTAAGTGGATGGTAATTTTAAAGGTAATTTAAAATTTAAAGGTGATTTTTGAAGATGAGAATTGATCAACTGTAATGACAAAAAACAAAAAGTATTAAATTATATTAAGAGTATTATGATATAAAATATAACGAAATCTACATAGTCTATTAAAGAGATATGAGAATCCATTCTAATTGATGATGATTTAATTAAAGTCTGTCAGTCTATTACTAAAATTTCTATAACTTTACAGATTAAAATGGTAAAATACATGCAATTTAACTAGATTATAATTTATCATTTAAAAAATATCTATCTACCTGGATAACTACTACCAGCTATTAACTTTACCCCATTAGGAATCTTCTTTGATCTCCTTTCACATTTGCATGCACGTGTATACATAGGCTAGATGGGAAATGCAAATAGAGCGGTAGACATGATAGCTTTCTTAAATTATATTTTGCAACCTATATGGAGACCTCCTCATGTGTATTCTCTTTGCAATTTAAATCAAATATAGATAGAAAATATATTTTAATTGAATTTCAAATGTATCATTTAAAGTCTTCAAGGTGTCAGTATTTTAGAAATTAATTTAATACATTTGCTAACTTATGTCAATATAAACAATCCAGCACACTCTCAATCCCTACAGTAAGCAAATATCCTGTTTAATTATATTGATACAGTATTTATTTACTTATTTCATTAAGTAAATGAAACAACCTTAACATACTATTGTCTCAGTTGCCATATTACACCATTTGTAAGCCACTTATGAATAATGGTTTGTTACGGATTTTTAAAAATATTACTATGAGTCACAAAAGACAGAGTTAACCCTAAGGGACTATGACATATTTTTCAGTTTTCACATTTTTCACAACTTAGAAGGGCTACTGCCAAGCTAGCTTTTGGGACTTCATTTTCAGCAATAATTTTCTAGAGTGACCAACACTATAGGGAAATCTGTGCTAACTGTTTAAAAAAAAAGAAAAAGCCTACAACTGAGTTATTTGCAGTACTGTCATGCTAACATTCAACTCAATAAGACCCAAGAAATCTCAGGAGAGGACTCTGCTAATAGCTTCTTACTGACCTCCTTGCATCAGGCCCGGCTGCTGACTGGTGGCCCAGTGGTGAATACGGCAAATGAGGTGTGAAAGCACTGATTTTTTTTAAAGGCTATGATTCTGACTCGTCAAAAGGAAAAAAAAAGGCAATGAGTTATATAATAGATATATATTTTTCTTGAATTCTCCCCTTCAGACCCTCCATCATGGGAACTTAAGCATGACCTGGAATATTAATTATGTCAGGTTGAGCAACGAGCAAATGTACCATTTGTTACCCAGTCACCCTTAGCATTACATTAATATTTTGAACCATTCCGTATTTCTAACAATCTATCAGTTGGCGCTTTTCTTCTCAGTTTTTATTCTTATACTTAAGTGTTGTATAGAAAAGTATTTTAAAAGTATAATTGATTTGAAAATAAATGGATAAACTTGTTTTATTTGAAGTGTTTACTATTTTATTCCATAAAAATGATTTTTATGGCCATTTTCTACTCATACACTGACCTTTATTTTGTAATTGCCTGGGGGAAGCTATACTCTAATTTTTTCTCTTCTCTTTGTTATTGAGATTTCCTTTTTAAAACAACTTTCTGAAAAATACGAAGAATAAGAAACAGGATTGTGTGCACCTATAATTCCCAAATCACAATTACTAGTGCTTCAATTTCATATTTTGCCATATGAGAGATAAGAATTTCTCATGATTACAAAGTGACTGCTTATCCAAGGAATGAAGGACTATTTAGTTTACAGGGTGGGCAGGAAAATTCAAGTTTTAATATTTGCAAATGACAATTACACAGCAAACAAGGGTACCAAAGTACCACTAAAAGGAATTAAAATTATCTTCTTGCCTCTTGATTCAAAATTTGTGAATACCACGAGAGATGGACAGCTCTTAAAGGAGTTCTGTCTAAAATATGTTTGGGTTCTCAGTTTCAATCAAAAATGCTTTAAAAAAATAAGATACACGCTTACACACACACAACAAAAAAATAAGACACTAAACAAGTAGAGAAGAATAGTAAAGAGCTCTAATAACTAGAAAAGTAAAAGTGGGCCAGAGAACTGTGAATGAAATATTTGCAAGGGTAGGGACTGCTGAATCAACACTGACCAATGCACTTCATCATAATTATCAGGACATACTACTGCCAGGGGATTTATAAAAATCCCACTCAGCAAATAATTGCCCTGCTGTTAGGAGATAGTCAGAGTGTTAACACACTGTCACAGTCTAGCGTTTAGTAAGATATTCTACATTCAATTACTCTTGCTAAGAACTAAAAGGAAACATGGTCATTACTCAGCTACAGCAGTTATGCTTCCACATGCATTTCAGACAATAGTCGTATTAACTCTCAGATAGAGTAGCTCAGAAGGAATAAGAATTTCATGGAAACATTAGAGAGTCACAAAGGTTGTATCTGGTTAGAAATCTATATAAAGAAATATTTTTAAACTATTACTGACCACAAATGATTTTTGTTACCTTTCTTTTACATCAGTAGATAGAATTTTTAAATGTTTTGAGTCGAACTCAGAGTGGGGTCACATTAACTGTAGACCCCAGAAAGTTGAAAAAGTAATTTGAAGGGGCCATTTGAAGCTCTTCCAGGATCTCAAACCCTGAAGAACACGATCAAGAGGATCACTTCAGCCAACATCACCAGGAGGTTTGCATACTTATTCTAAGAACTTTCTACCTGAATTCCCAGGAGTGCAGAAAAGGTGACATGTTAAAAAATAACTTCATTTAGCTTGAGTTTGTTTGGAGAATTGTAGACTTTCTCAGAGGTGTACAGTGCAAAGGGCAAATAGAACTATTGGAAAATTCACCTTGAGAAGGTTCTCCCAACTTCTGTGCTATACCTTCTATATTCTAGAGAATACTCATTTTTCTTCATGTACTGCATATACCTAAAAAGCACCAAAGATACACTTTATTTTTTCCTCATATGAGAAAAGAAATATTTCAAGTGAAATATTACCTTTGATGT